ATCCAGGAAACTCAACCCTTCCCCAAAAAAACTTCCTATTTTCTTCAGTGTCCCCTGTAATGTCACGTTCCAGCTCCCTTGGAAGCGCAGCAGGGAGAGGCTTGGATGAGCTCTCTATACCCATGCCCAGCAGCCAATGTCACCCTTACCCACCACAACCCCTGACTCTGGGGTTTGACAATCCCAAACACCTGGAGCCAACCCCCGGGAGTGGTGCCCGAGCTCACCCCTGTGCTGTGGGGAGCAGAGATACCCGGAGGATCGAGGGCCAGAGGGTTCTGTCTCTCCTCCAGAAATTTCCCTTTTCCAAATGCTCAGGTCAGTCTCTACGCAGCCATCCTGGGAAAAAATGGAATGGAAAAACTCAATTTTAAACCTCCAGCCTTGGGTGCTGAAGGTGCAAAATCCCCAATGCAGAACTGGGCATCCTCTGGTCTCCCCTCAGGGGAGACGATTCCCCTCCCAACCTCTCCCCGACGAGGTTGTTGAGTCTCTCATTATCCAATTAATCATGCAGAAGTTCATTATGAGCCCACCCACGTCCTCCACACAGATAAATACAGCAGCTGCAGTCCCAGGGAGCTTCCCACGCCAGCTCTGCTAAGCGCTCTCGCTAATTAGCGACATTACCTCTCCCCTTCCCTGCCATGAGAACCTATTAAAAACCCCCAAACCTCCCTAAATTGGGAAAAAACAGTGAGTTAAACACTGCCTTTCCAGGCTGTCAGCACCCAGCCATCCATGCTGGGAAGATGAAAGGGAAGAGGAGGTTTGTTTCCTGCCCACCGTCAGCTCCCGCCTCGTGCGTCAGCTCGGGGAACGGCGCGGCCCCAACCCTTGCTGCCTCTGCCCACAGGGCTCTGTCCTCATTGCCAGGAACGGACCCTGCAAGGGTTTTCATGAAAAAAATAAAGTTTCAAGCTGATCTGAGCTGAGCAGCTCCATATAGTAATAATAAATAATAATAATAATAATATGGATCATGGAATAGGGAAGGGCTGCAGAGCTTGTGGTCGGAAGTGGAAGGTGAGCTGTGAGGGGAAACGAGCACAAAAAGGAAAAAATGTGGTGAAAAGGAAATAAATTGAGAAAAACACGAGAAGAGGGACATCCTGACACCGCACAGGGAACAGACATCCTGAGGATGCCTTGGCTGTTTGGATTTCAGGCTTTTGGATGTGCTGGTGCTGCTCTGGAACCCCAGAAGATCACCTGAACATCACCTGAGCCTGAGATCTGCCCTGAAACCCCTCCTGTGTCTGCAGCACCCAGGGATGACCAACCCTTGTCTCCTCGGGGAAAAATACCCTTTAGAATGCTGGCTGAGGGTTGGAATCTCGGGAGAAGCCTCTGATGCAGAAACAAAACTGGTCCAGGAAATGTGTCACCCGTGCCGGCCCGCAGAGGTCAGGGACAGCCAAGAGGGGCTGTCACCTCGCCAGAACAAGGGAAAATCCCGTTTTCCTTGCGGTTTTCCCCGTCCCTGAGGTGCAGGGATGTGCCTGGAGCTGGCTGGGGGTTTTGATCCCCATTCCCCAGCACCGGGAGGATGTTTGGGTGGCCCGAGGTGGCCCCAAGCCCGGGGGGACACACGGCTTCACCCATGGCCTGGCCCGAGTCCCCTCACGGCCGGGGGTGGCAGGGACAGGGACAGCCGGGCAGGGGCTGCAAACGGGAGCCCCTCAGGGCGGCCTCTCGCTCCTCCTGCGACAACCACGAGCCCCTTGCTCCCCTCACAACAGCCACCGACCCCCGTTCCCCTCACCACAACCAGGCCCCCCCCACTCCCCTCACAGCAGCCCCGACCACATCCAGCAGCCCCTCGTTCCTACCGCCACAACTCCCTGTCCCCAACCAGGACAGCCAGCAGCCCCCCCGTTTCCCAGGGCCCGCCAGCGGGACCGCCCCTCCGCAGCGTGCCCTCAAAGAACCGGGGTGACCCCCAAAGCGGCTCCGTTACCCTACAGGCAGCGAGCCAGGCCGCGGCCTCCTCCCCTCCCAGCGCTCGTGTCCTACTCAGCCCTCTCCCCAGCCCTTCCAGCGCTCTCCCGGGGCCCCCACGCCGCACCTGCCATGCCGGGCCCGGCGGGGCCTCACCCGCGGCCCGCGGCCCTCACCGTGACACCGACCAGACAAAGGGCGCCGCCATCTTGGCGCCGGGCGGAAGCGGCGTCGCCCCGGCCCGCCCAGCGGCGCCACTGCGCGTGCGCGGCGGGGGCCCGGTCACCTTCCCGCCCCTTCCTGCCGCAGCGGCGCCGCCATGACAGTGGGGGGGCGGTGCTGAGGGAGCGGGGGAAGGCATGAGGGGCCATGAGGGGCCATGAGGGGTCCAGAGGGGCCATGAGGGACTGAGGGGAGCTATGAGGGGTCCAGAGGGGCCATGAGTGTCCTAGAGAGCTATGAGGGACCCAGAGGGAATGAGGGGAGCCATGGGGATCTCAGAGGAGCCATGAGGGACCCAGAGGGGCCATGAGAAGCTGAGGGGAGCCATGAGGGGCTGACAGGAGCTGTGAGGGGCTGACAGGAGCCGTGAGGGGCTGACAGGAGCCGTGAGGGGCTGACAGGAGCCATGAGGGGCTGACAGGAGCCATGAGGGGCTGAGGGGAGCCATGAGGGGCTGACAGGAGCCGTGAGGGGCCGAGGGGAGCCATGAGGGGCTGACAGGAGCTGTGAGGGGCTGACAGGAGCCGTGAGGGGCTGACAGGAGCCATGAGGGGCTGACAGGAGCCATGAGGGGCTGACAGGAGCCATGAGGGGCTGACAGGAGCCATGAGGGGCTGACAGGAGCCATGAGGGGCTGACAGGAGCCATGAGGGGCTGGGGGAAGCCGTGAGGGGCTGGGGGAAGCCGTGAGGGGCTGGGGGAAGCCGTGAGGGGCTGAGGTGAGCCATGAGGGGCTGACAGGAGCCATGAGGGGCTGACAGGAGCCATGAGGGGCTGACAGGAGCCATGAGAGACCAAGGGGAGCCATGAGGGGCCATGAGGGGCCACAAGAAGCCATGAGCAGCCAAAGGAGGCTGAGCACAGCCGTGAGGCTCGAAGGTCCCGGTGCCGGCACCACCACTGCGTTCATCACCAGCCGTGTCCCCAATCACCACATCACCCCTGCTTAAACACCCCCGAGGTGGCCATTCCACTGCTGTCCCAGTGCCTGACCACCCACTCCATGAAAATTCTCCGTGTATCTAACATAAACCTCCCTTGCCACGACTTGATGCCGTTCCTCTTTTCCTGTCACTTGTTCTCTTGGCTCCATCCTTCTGTCAGGGAAAAGGTTATTTGTTGGAAATAATACAACTTTCCTAACTAATTTTTAATTAGTTGTTTTAGTTAATTGCAAGCAGCATCCACTTTCACCAGTACTAGTTAAGTTTCTACACAGACTCTTGTTACTCAGGTCGTTAATCACCAAAACCTTGGGTTTGTTAAAAGTAACCCTGACAAGCTTCTATAAAGCCAAAGGCATTTGAAGATTGGACATCTGGTATCCTAAATTTATGGCCCTTCAAGGACATTGGAGTAACCAGAAAATAGAGAGGAGATTAAGGCCTGGAAAGCTGGAGATTTCAAGCAGATGATAAAAGGACTATAGAAATCAATAACCAACAGAGGACAGTATGTTAATTAATGAGGAGAATTATGTGACTTAGAACCGATGAACATTAATTTATTTGTTTGCTGACAATGTATAAATAAGTGAAAAAGTTTTGTATTGGCTACAGGAGTACCTTTGATCCCCTTGTCCAGACACGTGTTAAACTTTTGATAAAGAGTTTAACACGTCTCCAAAACCTGTTTTTTTCCCCCAGCTTTCCTGGCACGAAGGAGCTGCTGTGGGGTGCGTTTGGGGCCAGGCTGATCCCTCTGCTCATCTCCGCTGTCCCACAGCGATTCGGGCAGAAATCGAGCGATTTTCCCCCATTTCCCTCCTCCTTCCTCCGCACCTCCCCGGGCCGGGGCCGCTAGATGGCAACCGGTGACCGGCGCTGGTACCGGGGTGGCTCTGGGGACCTGGGGACAGCCGGTGCCACTGAAAGTAAAAAGGTTTTAAAATCATGGGGACTTAGGGTTAAAAGCAAAATTAAGCTTAATAAGCCCTGAAAAGATAAATAAATACCCTAAGTACATGAAGACTTTGTACCTTGCTAGAACTGCACCTGTGTAGCTAGTACACGATAAATTGTTAGATGTGATGGTTGTTTAGTAATTAAATATAATTACTGTTTAATCGTAAGAATAACCATGAGAAACTGTCAGGGGCCTAAGAAAGATCACGAGAAACTCATGTAAATGTATAAAATAGAACGATATAAGTTTAATAATTAATATGTAAGTTATATAAGGATAGAATATAAAATGCGTTCAGCTTGAAAGCCGTGTCGGAGTCAGATTTGGGTCTGCAGAGCTCTCAATAAAAGCACCTGCAGATAATCATATCCAGTGATGGTGTGTGTCCCTGAATGCCGACACCACGGCCCGACGGTCGCCTCCCCGAGCCCCCACAAGCTCAGCCCGGGCTCCGAACCCTTTTTCCCGCAGGGATTGCCGTGCCTGGGTCGCTGCCCGGAGCAGCAACACGAGCCGGGCTGCGGGGCCATAAACAGCCGCTGCCGCCCCACTGTTGTGGGTACACACAGGCACAGCACAGCCCGGCCCTTCCTCCCCCCAAAACACAGCCCTGGGGTTCGGCTCCTCATCCCGGCTCCCTGGGGCATCGAAGGTGGGCGAGGGGAGGAGGAGGAGGAGGGCTTGGTGCCCTTCCAGGTGGGTCGGCAGCCGGACAGCTGAGGGAATGGCTCTGAAATAGAGCTTCGGGGAAGAAATGAGTCACCCCGGGCTGGAAATAAACAGCGCAGCGGGCGCCCCAGCGGCTCCTGCTGCGGGTTTTTGTCGGGATGGTGGAATATCCCTTACCGAGGTACCCCCCGGCTCTGAACCCACACCCCGTTTGGAGGGCAAAGCATCAGGGAAACGTCAAAAAATGGAGAAGGCGGCAGGCAGACGTTCTCAATAATTTATCCCAAGCTCTATATACAAAGACAAGCTCTGGCAGAGGGTTGGGAAGGGAACCTGGCTCCCCGCAGGACTCTTGGCACGCTGGATCTCCCCCCTCAATGCACGCCAGCTAAAAATCACCGGAGCTGGGACTCCCCTCCGGTGGGTGACGGACGCGTTCAGCACAGGTCTGACCCCGCTCTGATGGGAGCCTTCCCATTCCCTACCCCACATCCCACACCTCCTTCCCAAATCACCCATTTAATTAGCGAGGGAGGGAAAGGAGAGGGGGGAAAGGAGCCCCCCGAGCCCTCAGATCTTGATCTCAGTCCGGAAGGTTTGCTGGACGTGCTCGGAGTGCTTGGCCGGCCGGCGCTGAGCCCGGATGGTCAACATCCCGTTGTCCCCCAGCGAGGACGACACGGACGTGGGGTCCACATCTTCGGGCAGCTGGCACTTGTGGGTGAAGGTGTTCATGACGGTGCCATCCGTGGCCAACTGGGAGAAAAAAATGGGTGAAAAGAGGCGATTTCGGGGTGCAAGTGGAACGGGGACTCATTATTCCCTGTGATCACCGTTAATTAATGAATTAAACCCCAGTGGGGATGTGGCCGCAGCTGTTTGGGAATTGGGTGGGAGCTGGGTGGTCCCCGCGCACCCAGTGAGGATTTTGGGGTCCCTCTCTTTGGGGGTGAGCAGGGAAGGGGAGGGAGCACCCACCTTCTCAGCGTGCACCTCGATCTGGTTGTTGGAGGTGGTGACGATGATGTCCTCGGGCGCGAAGTCGCTGACATCCACCGTGAACTGATAAGTGTTCCCCAGGGTCTTCACCACACCCGTGTTCCCGGGGCGAGCTGCTGGGCAGGGTTGGGGGGGTCACAACCGCAGTTTGCCGAGGATCCCCCCCAAATACCTCCCGGCTGCACCCCAAACTCACCTGGGAACCCCAAGGTGTCCCCGTGGGGCCGGACAAAGCTCCCAAAAAGCTCCATGGTGCCGGCGGGAGAGGATTCCCCCTTCACCCACCGCTTGCCCGCACCTGCGAGCCCCAACTCCCGCCGGGGGACGAGCGGAGCCCCCTTCCTCCTTCTCCTCCCGGCGAAGGCGACGCCGGATCGGTTATTTCGGGATATTTCGACTTGACGAGCTTTTTAAAGCCTCGTTAAGGCTCCCGGCCGCCTGCCAGACCTCTCGTAAAACCGGCTAAATTTAGGTCTTGAGCCGGAGACGGTGGAACTTTTTCCCCCTCTGCGTTCCCCCCCGCAGCTCAACGCCATGGAATGCGATGCCTATTATTAAGGAATAATCATGATAATTAATTAAAATACTTATTAAATCGTCCCCGCTGCGGGATGTACGTTGGGGCTGGGAGCTGGAGGGTGGCGGAGGGGGGAGGAAACCCGGCTCGCTCCGGCCCGAGCGGGTCCGGCGGATTCGTCAAGGTCGTTTTTAATGAGCTCCTTTGCAAACTCAGTCGGGCAGCGGAGGCCGAGGCGGGAGGACGGGTCAGGGGGTGCTACAAAAAAAGGGGGTGCGGTCCCCTAAAACGTCCTCGGGATGGAGCGCCCCGTCCCCGGGGGGCTGCGGGGGATGAAGGAAGAGGAGGAGGAGGAGGAGAGGGTGCTGGTGTCGGAGCACAGCTGGAGACCCTGCCCCACTGCCCGGAGAAGGGTCCGAGGTGAGACCCCCACCCAAAAAGGGGGATTCTGGAGGTGGGTTTTTTTTTGGGGGGGTCAGCACCTTGTTTCCCCCCTGGCAGGGTGCTTGGAGTGGGTGAGGCGGCAGCTGTTCCGCGTCGGGGAGGATTGGTACTTCCTCTTCATCCTGGGCGTGCTCATGGCCACCATCAGCTTCGCCATGGACATCGTCACCACCAGGATCCACGCGGGTAAACGAGGGGTGCCCCGGGGGCTCCACCGAGTATACAGGGCGGGTCTTTCGGGGTGCAAAAGGGGGTGCTGGGGGGTGCATTCCCCTCCTGACACCTCTCCTCTAGCCCACACGTGGCTGTACCGAGAGATCGGGGACATCGGGGTGCTCAAGTACCTCTCGTGGACCCTGTTCCCCACGGCGCTGGCCGCATTCTCCACCGGCTTCTCGCAGAGCATCACCCCGCACTCCGGAGGTGAGCCAGCTACCCCGACCTCCTGGCTCCCTAAAATGCCCCCTCGGTAATGAGGGACCCCTAAAATTTGGAATCTGCCCCTCCTCCCAGGCTCCGGCATCCCGGAGCTGAAGACCATCCTGATGGGCGTGGTGCTGGAGGACTACCTGGCCATCCAGAACTTCGGGGCCAAGGTGGTGGGGCTGACCTGCACCCTGACGTGCGGCAGCACCGTTTTCCTCGGGAAAGTGGTGAGGGATCCCCTTCTGAACCCCAAAATGCCTGGCGGTTCCAGCTGGTGCCGGGCTGGGGGGGCCGCTCAGCGCTGTGTCCCCCCAGGGTCCCTATGTCCACCTCTCCGCCATGGCCGCCGCCTATCTGGGGAAGATGAGGACCACGGTCACGAGGGAATATGAGGTGGGGGTGGTACCGCTCAAAAGACGAGTGGAGGGATTTGATTTTACCCCCAAAAAGTTGGGGGTAAAGTCAAACCCCTAACGCCGCCTCCCCCACCTTCCAGAACAAGTTCAAGCAGCACGAGATGCTGGTGGCAGCTCAAGCCGTCGGGGTGGCCACAGTCTTCGGGGCACCCATCAGCGGTGAGGATCCCCCTAATCCCCTCCTGGGCACCCCAAAACCTCGCCCTGATCCCTTCCCCTGTTTTTCCAGGGGTGCTTTTCAGCATCGAGGTGATGTCCCCCCACTTTGCCGTGCGGGATTACTGGCGCGGTTTCTTCGCCGCCAGCTGCGGCGCCTTCATGTTTCGGCTCCTGGCCGTGTTCAACAGCGAGCAAGGCAAGGCAGGGCGGGCAGGATGTGCCCCCTCTTCCCCTCTGCCCTCCCCCCATGACATTTTTGGGGTGCTCACCCCCAAACCCACACCCTCATTCCTGTCCCATTGCAGAAACCATTGCCGCTGTTTTTAAGAGTGACCTCAAGATTGATTTTCCCTTCGACCTCCTGGAGACCTTCTTTTTTCTGATTTTGGGGTAGGGAGGGTCTGGTTTTGGGGTGCTGCCTGTGCTCTGCCTGTGCCCTGCCTGTGCCCTACCTGTTCCCTACCTGTTCTCTCCTCACAGGACCATCTGTGGGATCGTGGCCTGTGCTTATCTCTTCTGCCAGCGCTGGATGATGGTGGCCGTCAAGAGGAACTGGTTGACAGCCAAGCTCTTGGCCACCGAGTCCGTACTGGGCGTCCGTCCATCTGTCTGTCTGCACCCTGTGTGTCCGTGCCGTGCAGGCTCTGTGTGTCCCTGTGTCCTTCCCACCCACCCTGGGTGTCCCTGTGTCCCCCCCCACACCCTGTCCACCCACTCTCAGTGTCCGTATGTCCACCCTGTGCACTCTGGCCATCCATGCATCCACTCCATACACCCTCCACGTGCACCCCGAGTGTCCCTGTGTCCCCTCCCTGCACCCCAAGTGTCCCATATGCCCCCCACGCACCCCGCTCACCCCACCCCATCCACCCCGGGTGTCCCTGGGTCCCCCTGTCCGTCTGTCCGTCCCCACGTGCCCAGCCCCCGTGTCCCCCTGCAGCAAACCCGTGTACACGGTGCTGGCAGTGCTGCTCCTCGCCTCCATCACCTTCCCGCCCGGGCTGGGGCAGTTCATGGCCTCCAGGGTGAGTGGGGACATGTGGGGCTCCCTGGGGACCCCAAAACCTCGCAGTGGGGGCTCAGGGTGTCCATTTGTCCGTCTGTCCAGCTCACCATGAAGGAACATCTCATCTCCCTCTTTGACAACCGCACGTGGGGTTTGCTGGCCACCAACGCCTCGGGGGTGGCCAAGCCCGGGGGCCTCTGGCAGGAGTGGGACCATCCCTCTGCCACCATCTACGGCACCTTGGCCTTCTTCCTGCTCATGAAGGTAACCATGGCCCCCCCAGGCTCTGGGTGTGCCCCCCAACACGGTGTCCCCATGGGGTGACCCCCTGTGTCCCCCCAGTTCTGGATGCTCATCCTGGCCACCACCCTGCCCCTGCCAGCCGGGTACTTCATGCCCATCTTCATCTATGGTGAGTTGGGGGCCGGGGGGACATGGGGGGGACATGGGGGGGACAGCCAGGCCTGGGGAGGGGTGCAGGGGGTTCATTCAGCCCTTGGAGTGGGACTCTGGGGGTGTATCCAGCCCCGGGGGGGGTACATCCAGTCTGGGGGGTACAGGGGAGGTATCTGGCTGCAGGAGGGTGGTCACCCCGACCTCCACCATTTTTGGGGGAGGCTTCTGGTATCTCCCCACCTTCCCTTCTCCCCCAATTTCAGGAGCAGCCATCGGGCGCCTGATGGGGGAGGTGGTGGCCCTGCTCTTCCCACGGGGGCTCCATTCAGAGGGACCCCCACGGCCCATTCTTCCCGCTGGCTACGCCCTGGCTGGTGAGTCTGGGGGGTGGGCGACATCCCCACGGGCAGAGGGACACCCATGGGTGGGGGACACCCACCCCCAGCCCCTGACCCCCCTCCCTGCCAGGCGCAGCCGCGTTCGCGGGCTCGGTGACCCACGCGGTGTCCACGGCCCTGCTGGTGTGTGAGGCCACGGGGCACCTGGGCCACCTCCTGCCCACCGTGCTGGCCGTGCTGGTGGCCAACGCCATCAGCCAGAAGAACCAACCGTCCTTCTACGACGCCGGCATCATCGTCAAGAAGCTGCCCTACCTGCCCCCCATCCGCAGCCGGCACATGGCGTAAGGCCCCGCCCCAAAATCCCACATTTTGGGGGTGTTCTCCAGGAAACGATGGAAATTTGGGGGGTTTTGTGCTCGCCAGCTCCTACAGAGTGACGGTGGAGGAGTTCATGGAGCGCCAGGTGGTGGCCTTGGCCAAGGGGGACGGTTTCCAGGAGGTGCTGGTGGCTTTGGACGCCTCTGCCGATGCTGAGTACCCCGTGGTGGAGAGCACAGGTGGGATGTGGGACCTGGGGGGTCACTGTCACCACCCTGTGGTGGCCTTTCTGTGCTGCTCATGCTGTCCCTGTGGTGTCCCCCCAGTGCCCATTTGATATTCCCACGCTGTCCCTGTGGGGTGTTCCTGCAGTGTCCCCAAACTGCTCTTGTGGTGTCCCCAAACTGCTCTTGCAGTGTCCTTTGTTATTCCCAGGCTGTCCTGTCTCCATTGGTGCCACATATTGTGCCCTCAATATTGCCATGGTGCCACCTCAATATTCCCATACTGTCCCTGTGCCATCCCCATAGTGTCCCCATCCCCTTTGGTGTCCCCATGCTGTTCCCTCAATGTCCCTGTTCTGTCTCCATGGTGTCACTATGGGTGTCCCCTCCATATTCCCACACTGTCCCCATGGGATGTCCCCTTGCTGTCCCCAGTACCTCCTCCTGTTATTCCCATTCTGTTCCCTTGATGTCCCTCTGGTATTCCCACATTGTCCCCATTCTGTCCCCTCCCTCTCCAGGGTCCCCCACCCTGGTGGGCACCGTCAGCAGGTCCCAGCTGGTCACCTTCCTCCAGAGCCACGAGCACCCTCAGGCCCCACAAGGGGAGAAGGTAAACAGGGTGGGGGACACCCTACCACACCCAAAAAGCTGTTTTTCCACCCCAAAATTAACGTGTCACTTTCCACAAGCTGGCCACTGTGGGGACACTCGGGGACGACTGCACCATTGAGCCCATCATGCTCCAGTTCTCCCCGTGGACCTCCCTGCACCAGGTCTGGGGGGGTGAAATGTGTCCTGGGAACCCCCCAGGTCTGTGTCACACCGAGGGGACACTGTGCAGGTGGCTTTGTCCCCACGTGTCCCTGTTGTCCCCTTCCCAGGCCTATCACCTCTTCCAGCTGCTGAAGCTGCAGCGAGTCTTTGTCACCCGCTCCGGGGAGCTGGTGGGAGCCGTGAGCAGGGCAGAGGTGAAAAGGGGAAAAAGAAAGGAAAAAGAAGGGAAAAAGGGGAAAAAAGAAGGGTGAAAAAGAAGGGAAAAAGGGGGGGAAAGAAGGGGGAAAGAAAGAAAGAAGGGGGAAAGAAAGAAAGAAGGGGGAAAGAAAGAAAGAAGGGGGAAAGAAA